AGAGAATAATAACCTTACAGCACAACCCAGGAATTTGGCAAGGCTCTTCTTAAGGTTCAGACCTTTGAAGTCGCGTTCGCTGTGAAACGGTGCGTCACACACTGTCTTTACGGATCGGAGACCGTGCTGGGCAGAGAAGGTTCCCTCGATCTGGAAAAGTAGGTATGGCCATTTGGAGCCCTGCATCATCTGTGTGACGGACGAGTAGGGTTTAGTGTAGATCTATCACAGTAGCTTAATCAGTGGTCGAATCCAGATTTTCACCTTTGTGCGTAGCAAGTTGGGCTTGCAATTGAAAGGATGACAACTGTGGCTCCTCAGTGGATCGGGTTTGGTCTGTGGGGCACGATTCGGCCTCCGATTTTACACTCTAGGTTGGATAGCTAAGCGGTGATCGGGTGGCGCACAGTGCAGTCGCTCCGTTGGTTGGATAAAAAGACCCGTGATAACAGAGCCTCCCCAATTTCTAGGGAACCCTCAGCGCTTTGCAACTCAGAGAGTATACCAACTGGCCCCGGCTCAGTGTGCAACTAAATCCTCTTCTTCCTAATGGAGAATTATCTGAAGCAGTCCATCGTGGGCAAAGGCTCCTACGGAACGGTGTACAAAGTCAAGTGTCGGCGGACCGGAAAGGAGTTCGCCTTGAAATATCATACCCGGGATGTGACCGGCGTAAGGGCTGCAACCGGCGTAGAGGAGGATGTGATCGGCGTAGAAGAAGCGACCGTGAGAGAGCTCTCCAGTCTCTCCGCGCTAAAGGGTCACCCTTATGTGATCCAGATGCTTGACTGTTTTGTCGACAGCGGAACAATAGCCGTGCTCATGCCCTACGTGCCCTACACGCTGAGTAAAGCGATTCACAACGGTCACGGTATGAAATTCTACTACGACCAAGGCCAGGCGCTACAACAGCAGCAGGGGATCCCGTTGAGCTTCGTGGCTCGTTTTTCCATCCAGGTGGCTAACGCGCTGTCGTACATGCACAGACTGAATTTTGTGCACAGGGACGTGACGCCTTTCAACGTGCTGCTGACAGAAGAGCTCACCGTCAAGGTGGCTGACATGGGCCTCGCGAGACACTCCTCCAGGTGGATGAGCACAACTGTAGTGACGGAGCCGTACAGGGCCCCGGAATTGTTTGTCACAGACGGCTGCGCGCAGTACACTTGTGCCATAGACACGTGGAGCCTGGGTGTGATGATAGCGGACGCCGTGGAAGGGAAAGTTGTGTTCTCGGCGCGCAAAGATCACGGTACAGAGGTGTCCACATACCAGATCATCGTAAGGACTCTATGTCCCAAAGACCACCCCTGCGCATCGACCGTCGAACCCTGGGACCCTGATGTGGTAATGCCCAATGCGATGAAGTGCAAACTAGTGAAAAGGATCATCCTACGACTGCTGGCTTTCCATGAGAATGAGAGACTTCTGGCTCACGAGCTGTTGCAGGACACGGAATGGACGCAGGCTGCTCATATGACCGAGGAAGACACGGCGATGGTCAGAGACCAGATTCGGCGACGAGAACGGGAACTGGAAGCGAGAGAATGACTCTAGAAAGACACAGACCATCTGGGGAGTGTGTGTGTGTATACAATGGTTTATTCAGTCATGTTTTGTGGTGTCTCATACATATGTGTACATTATCACTGGTTACTATAGCCTCGAGAGCATTGAAACATGTAGAAAACCTGTACAAGGGTATGCCGTTCGAGGAGAACATGCTCTCATCGGAGCGTTTCACGAATGGCCACCATCAACGGTGTCAGTCAGGACACTGTGTATGTGTGTGTTTTGGACCCGGCAGACCTCCGATTGTGTGTATGCCTTTTATTCAGTCGTGATTCATGGTGTATTATATGTATGTACATTCTCACTTTCTCGAGAGCATTAAATGCCTTGTAAAAGAAAAATCTCAAAAACAAAAAAAAATAAACACGTACAAGGGTATGCCTTGCAGTCGTCGTGGAAGACACTCTTATCATTGCAGCAGTTTACAAATAGTCACCATCAACACTATCATAATTATAAAGTGTGTCAGGACATTGTGTTTGGAGAGCGGACACAGCAGACCTCCGATTGTGTGTACAGTTTTGTTTTTGTGATTCATGATGTATCATATGTATGTATGTATGTATGTATGTATGTATGTATGTATGTATGTATGTATGTATGTATGTACAATGTCACTTCCTCAAGAGTATTACATTTCTTGATTCTTGATAATAAAAAACACGTACAAGGATTGGTTGGCCATGCGATGTTTGTAGAACACACTCTTATCATTGCAGCAGTTCACAAATGGCCAACATCAACGCTGTCATAAGTATAAGGTGTGTCAGGACACCGTGTGTTTGGAGAGCGAACCCAGCAGACCTTCGCGATCTTTCAAAATCATCTATCATCGTCTTCAAGTCCTGTATACCTGCAGGGAGAGAGGGAGTTAGCTGATAGTACCGTGATCGTAATTATAAACCAACCAACCAACCAACCAACCAACCAACCAACCAACCAACCAACCAACCAACCAACCAACCAACCAATGATGCACAACGCACTTTCGGTCACGTTGAGCAGTTTCACTGATGTTTTGATGTCCTTCAGCTCCTTGAGGTCCGGCGTCATCAGCATCGGGTTTCTGACGATCGTCTCGGCGGTGGTAGTGGTGGTGGGATGGACGGAGGCCGCGATCTGAACATCTGAGCACGAGGCGTTAGCCAGCCCGCGTCTCTGATAGATGAAATACTGGTAGAATCTATCGCCGTATCCACCGAACGTGTTCCTGTTGTGGAGCATGAAGCAGCAATGCGCCGGGCTTATCGTTCTGCTCATAGTCTTGGTCCACACCTCGACGAGGCTCCACATTCGGCTAGTTGCGTGGGGTTCTATGTACAGCATAGAGATTCTAACGACACCGTCGAGCGGCTTGATGAACGCGGCCTTGGTCACCTTGTCCGCTCTGACGGTGTAGTAGAACATACCGCAGGTGTCGTTGGCCTTTGCGCTCAGATCGAAAGCCTCGCTTCCTATCCTATAGGCGCCTTCGTCGGTACATGTGAGAAGGCGAATGTTGACTCGATATCCCGCCGGGGTCGTCGTCAGCTCATACAGGTGCTCGCTAGGGTACACGGCCCGATCGTCTTTATAGAAAGGCGTAGTGGGACTCTCCAAGTAACCAGCAGCGGCAGCAGCAGCAGCAGCAGACTCGTCACGCTAGGAATGTACATTTTCACCGCGGTTGAGTGTACGCTTGGAGCAAACAGGGAGCACGGTGTATAGGAACGCTGTTCACAGTGTATAGGAATCGCTGGAGCGGTCGCGCCCTTTTATACACGCTGAAACCCGACGCGGTAACATCACCGGTGCACTCTACTGCGACCGATTCATCCAGCCGAACCCCTGTTACGCCGAAGCTCGGCACAACCGCGCATTCGGCCTACAGCGGCCGAGTCATCCGACGAGCCCCTCCGCCGACTACGACTCAAACCACGGCCGATTCATCCGGCCAAGCCCCTGTTACGCCGAAGCTCGGCACAACCGCGCATTCGGCCTACAGCGGCCGAGTCATCCGACGAGCCCCTCCGCCGACTACGACTCAAACCACGGCCGATTCATCCGGCCGAGTCCCTGTTACGCCGAAGCTCGGCACGACCGCGCATTCGACCTACCGCGGTCGATTTGTCCAGCTGAGGTGTGGCCCAAGGATTGTGTCAGGGTCTAGTAATGTTAGGCAAGGTTGTGTAACAAAATGAAAAACACTCATTCATACAGGTGACAAACTTTATTCAATTATACCATGTCACACAACGTCTTTATACAAACAAAAGGAAATGTATGGACTATAGTCTTTTCACATAAATTGCACAGATACACACACACAGGGGATCAAAATATATGGGCTAACAACGCCTTTAGTTTGTTCCGCATAAACTCGCTTTTCAGCGAGTGCCACTCGTAGACAAAGGCGAGATCGAAGCACGGCTTTATCTCGTACTCACACTCAGACTTTTGCTCGATCTCCCCGACTCTAGAGAGCCATACTACTTTGAAGCACAACACATGTGAAGGCATGGTGATGTAGGTGATATGCGCCTCTGTGTACACCTGATAAAAGTCTAATCTGCGATCCTTGTACTTCTCGCCTGACATTACACACAGTTGCTTCCCGTTGCTCAACGTGACTGGCACGTAACTGTCCAGAACAGCGTGAGCGAGCCGCAGATGTTGAGGGAGCCACTCGTCCTCGCTCCACTTGTCCACAGACTTCGGGTTGCAGAGGGACTCCCCGTTCACCACGTACACCTTGTCGAAACAGTTGAGAAAGCAGGATATCATCTCCGTCCTAGGCCCCGTGATTCCGATCAGCGGTATGGGTATGTAAGTGGAAGACGCAAACAGGACGCGGTAACGAGGAGGCTGCTCTCCGAGGCACTTCAGTCGACCGGTTATGTATCGTGTGTACGCGTCGACAAGCCTCTCTTGTTCCAGAGGAGTTTCGTGTTCTCCGCCAAACGAGGAGTCTAGGTCTGATGTGTTCTCCAGGGTTAAGAGGCTGTCGTATCTAAAGTTCTTATCCACCACCTTGCAATTCAGGAACAGACCGTAGGGGATCAAAATATATGGGCTAACAGCGCCTCTAGTTTGTTCCGCATAAACTCGCTTTTCAGCGAGTGCCACTCGTAGACAAAGGCGAGATCGAAGCACGGCTCTATCTCGTACTCGCACTCAGACTTTCGCTCGATCTCCCTGACTCTAGAGAGCCATACTGCTTTGGAGCACAACACATGTGAAGGCATGGTGATGTAGGTGATATGCTTCTCTGTGTACACCTGATAATAGTCCCATCTGCGATCCTCTTGCTTCTTGCCTGACATTACACACAGTTGCTTCCCATTGCTCAACGTCACTGGCACGTAACTGTCCAGAACAGCGTGAGCGAGCCGCAGATGTTGAGGGAGCCACTCGTCCTCGCTCCACTTGTCCACAGACTTCGGGTTGCAGAGGGACTCCCCGTTCACCACGTACACCTTGTCGAAACAGTTGAGAAAGCAGGATATCATCTCCGTCCTAGGCCCCGTGATTCCGATCAGCGGTATGGGTATGTAAGTGGAAGACGCAAACAGGACACGGTAACGAGGAGGCTGCTCTCCGAGGCCCTTCAGTCGACCGGTTATGTATTGTGTGTACGCGTCGACAAGCCTCTCTTGTTCCAGAGGAGTTTCGTGTTCTCCGCCAAACGAGGAGTCTAGGTCTGATGTGTTCTCCAGGGTTAAGAGGTTGTCGTATCTAAAGTTGCTATCCACCACCTCGCAATTCACGAACAGAGCGAATGAGTCGAGCCTCTGTTTACCCCCTCGAATGACTACATAGTCCACAGAGAAGTTGCCGTAAACCCCTCTCGAGGCCGCCATACTGAGATCGAGCTGTGAGTCGGCAGAGTCGCACCTACTTTTAGAATTCCGGCGGTCGGATGGTTAGCGTTTCAATGGGTTCAGAAGCCTTCCTTTGAGGTAAAGTGATCATACAAACGCACTACATGGGGTTGGCGGTGTCCACATGCGCTGACAGGGTTGCGTGTACCCTTCACCGGTGTCCTTGTGACACCCGGGCAAAGGTGTTGTAAAGCACATAATAAACAATGCTCTTCATAGGCTTCCAGATTGTGTCCATGTCCTGGTGAACCCCTTTTGTCAAGATCCACTTGAGAGCCTCGGAGCAGCTGTCGTTGACCTCGATGTCAGTGCGATGCGTTAGAGCTTGATCCACGGTTAGGCTGATCGCTAAATCAAAGTCTCCGTTTGCCATTTGTCTGGGGTCCATGAACTCCGAGCCAAAAGGGCTCTGAGGCTCTTCGGCGGCCGATCGCCCCTTCTCCAGATAAGACACGGCCGGCTCGTGTACATCGTGCAAAAGGCGGTGGTAAGTGCGGTGCTCAGAGGGCCAAGCGAATATCTCATCCAAGGTGTTATTCAATTCCGGATAACCGACGGGGGTCATGTTGCACTTGTATCTGCGGGCGCCCGAAAGTCTCACAGTGAACTTCAGTTGAAAGCTGGGAGGATTCTTGCCCAGTGTGATCATGTTATCTAGAAGCTCACGCGTATCCTCTTCCATTATTTGAGTGCCGCAGAGGGCTCTCTGCGGGTTCCTTTTAGCTGTGGCCTTTTGCTGTTTTTTCACCGGAGGCATCGTAGAAGAGAGTCTGCTACCGAACAATTCACCACATTCATGCTGTGCGGAAAGATTAATAGTCCACAAGAGTTCCAATTGTCCGCCTCACGGCATGGGTGATTCATAAGACAGAATACCCAAAATCTCTCTTTGCGGGATATGCAGGCCAACTGTGAACCAAGTCTTACCTAAAGACTTTTGAGGGGCAGACAATTTGGGGCGTGTTGTGGTTGGACTACAGTACTGTGGAGTCTCCTTGTTATATATCTGGTGGTGTGTTGAAATAAACCAGGTGTCTAAACTCATGTCTAACATGCTTTCTGATGCTGAACACTATCATGTCCGCCGTTGCAGTAGATGGGAGTGGCACTGGCTGAGAT